GTTGTTGTTGTTGTTGTTGTTGTTGTTGTTGTTGTTGTTGTTGTTGTTGTTGTTGTTGTTGTTGTTGTTGTTGTTGTTGTTGTTGTTGTTGTTGTTGTTGTTGTTGGTGTTGTGGTTGTGGTTGTGGTTGCGGTTGTCGTGGTGGTGGTGGTGGTGGTGGTCGTCGTCGTCGTCGTCGTTGCCGCCTCTCGTCGTCGCTGTTGTTTTCACTGCTGTTGCCATTGCCGTTGCTGCGGCAGCTTTTGCATTGCAGTTGTTGTGGTTTTGGTGGTTGTGGTTATTGTTTGGATGTGGTTGTTGTTGGTGTTGCTGGCTTTGTTATTGTTGTTGTTATTGTCTTGTTCTTGGTGCTCCTGTTGTTGCTGCTGCTGTTGCTGCTATTGTTGTTGCTGCTGTCAGCTGTTGTGGTCGTCGTCGTCGATCTTAGCTCTTGTTCTTGAAACCCCTCTAGCAAAGAGAAACAAACTGGCTGGACGTCTGCGCTCGTCCGAGTGCCCGGCCACGGCTGGCTGGTCGCTGAGCAACCATCTGGGCGTGACAAAAGCCCCCAAAAGGACAGTGCACGCACAAAAAAGTATATATCCATATCATCGTTATTTAAATACGGGATGTGCGAGGATTCCGTGTTGAGGAAAACATGTCTAAATCTTACCAGACAAATATGTCATCCCTGCTTTCCCGGTATCCCTACTAATTTGACTGTCTGACATTGTTCAAGAGTCTCCCCTCCGAAGTTTCTCATAGCGACATGCTGCACTGAAGGCCTCAAGAAAAAGCCTGCCGCCAACCGAGCTAGCTCGTGAGTTCAAGCATTCAGGAATTTGAAAACCTCCATTTGCTTAAGTCCCCGGGGGAATAAAATAATCCAATAGTGATATGTTCCCTTTAAGACCAACAGGTGAAAATAATAATAACAAATACTAATTTCAGCAAATGGAAGACAATGCCCCGCGAAACCGAACTCAGATTCCTATGTCTTAAGGCTTTAGGGGTAGTGAGAGCCTCACAAGCAAGGGTAACCGGCGACATGCCATGGACATGTCCTTTTTGGCCGTCAGGGCCGTTGGCTTGTTGAGTCCAAGTGTTCCGCATGTTTTTGAGCCCATAGGAAGCTCGTGAATGGCATGTTGCTAGCTGAGCTTGGGCAACGGCGCGTCGCAATATGTGGCACTGAAGTGCCGAGTTTTTTTTTTCAAAAAAATATTTCGGAGCCCTCGTTAGGGTGAAGGTTTGTCTCACGACAAGATAAACAAGCCACCCGTTCAACGGCTGTGGCTCAAAGGATGGAATTTCGGGGCTTACACCCAGAAAGCCGAGTCTAAAAAGACAACAGTGGAGTGGTAACCATCCCAGAAAAGGCACCTTAGGTTTTGACCAACAACCAAACAAGAGGCAGTTGAGCGCGGGACAGTTTGTCCGTGGCGTCATGGCGTCCCTTCTACACGGACGATCCGAACAACACTTCGCACGAGGCGAGGCCATTGCTTCTCAGCTGGTGTCACGTATCACTGGGCGTTGTGGTCGCCCCAATTCGCGAGCAAGAGTATCTCTGCCCTCCAGGCTCCGCAGGAAGGAAGCGTTCAGCGAAGGGAAACACAAGCGGGTTGACCCGCTTAAGTCTCGCGCTCCTGGAACTCTAGCGCCCGCGATTGGGCCAACAGTCTCTGGAGCATTTCGACCAAAAACGTGACTCCGCCTCTAGCTCTAGCACCCGCGATTGGGCCATCAGTCTCTGGAGCATCACGCCAAACCGGCCCTTCTGACGCTGTCCGTTCCCACTGCAGGCCCCGAAAATGAAGAGTTGGTAGTGCAAGTTGACCGCTGTTGCAAACAAAAGGTCTCCCAATTGAACCTGTCTTTCTCCGACATCCAGTTGTGTCTTGTTCCGAAAGCCAAATTAGTTGGGGGGGTTCAATCTTGAAACAATGTGGAGGGTGTTGGAAATGTCCATTGTTTACTTGGGCACCCTGTCGGGGAAACGGATTGGAGCTTGTGGATTCTCTGAGGACGATCCTCGAAAACTCAGCCCCTTGTGGTCCAACTTGTTTTGAGACACCAGAAGCAACCACACCGCGACAGCTCTTGCTGCCCGTTGAGGGAGAGTGGCTTTGTTCACACCTTGCGATCCTTGAGGGAAACCCACGAGAAGTCAGCCCCATTTCGGGGTTTCTTTGGATATAGATTAAAACCAGCCCCCCGCGTACATGTCTCGATGATTGCCCAAGCAACTTGAGCATATAGATGTAGCCCAATGATAGTTAGCGAGTTAGTTAGTTAGTTAGATAGTTAGCTAGTTAGCTAGTTGCTCAGTTAGTTAGTTGCTTAGTTAGTTAGTTAGTTAATTAATTAGTTAGTTACATCCTGTAGCACCAGGCTGTCCGTCCATCCCACTGGGACACGCACCACGACGTCGTCATCCCGGCGCTTCTGGGCGCGAGCTTGGCAGTTGGTGTCCAGGCGGGGTCCAAACAATCAGGGAATCCGTTTTGGACGTTGATTGGAGAAAACCGAGAGAAAACCAAACACTGTTTAACAGGGATCCTTACATTATACACCTGAACATTGCCTTGTACATGGTAGTTTCCCTCCATTTGGGTGGAAAAAGCCATGTTTCAAATGGGCAAAATGTATCTTTCAAGGAGCCCTGTTTAAGGGTCCCCGATTCGCGAGACATTATGGAGCACGCGATTTGTGTTGACGCCCACGCAAGAGACCGATTGCGCAAACTTAATGAGCCTTGACAATCAGAGCCCCGTCTGTGGAATTCGTGCCTTTTGTGTTTTTTTGTCCATCAATCTGCATGGGCAGTATCGGTACCGTCGTTTTGTGACTCCAAGAAATGCAGACTGGTGGTGCTGGACGCCTACCTTGTTGCTTGAAACACAACCTTTAGCTTGTTCGCAGGCGAAAAAGGCCAGATCCTTTGGCTGCTTTGTTCCAGCCTTGGTTCGGAATGGGCATCGAAAGGATCCTGATGTGCTGTCAAGGCCCCTACCTGCCAAGCTTGCCATACTCCCGTGCCAAAGGTCAGAAGGGCTCCCCAGTGAGACACCAAACCCTGCGAGGGGCTGGCCTTGGCTGGCGGTTCATTTTCTTTCTTACTTGTCGGTGCCATAGGCGCCCTTTCGGTAAAATAGATGGGTTTCCCTAGTAAACAGAATGAAACCCATTTCAACCAGCGCCATCTGTGTCTAACCAAACTCACCTAAAAGGGATATCTACCGGTGCAGTCTGGACAAAGTCGCGGCCTTGTTCCCATCTCCGCCATGCCCAGGTGTCAGGAATTATGTTTATGGGCTGCACGCATCCACCATTCCAGTGGCCGCACGAGGGGGCTGCCCAATCACGTGTGTCGAACATGTTGCCGGCTTGCCTGCTGCTGGCGTGGCATGGGTCATCGCCGCTGATAAGCACGCGAATTTATCCGGACAGCAAAATCACTAAAGCTTAAAAACTGACCGTGCATGAAAAACTGGTTGTGAAACCTGGGTTGGTCCATATACTTAACTGCTTGTTTGTGGAGTGTTCTCAGACACTAAGCGTGTGGCTGCGTCATCATCTCTTCGGGCCTGGGCAAAGAGAGAGAGAGAGAGAGAGAGAGAAAAAGAGAGAGAGAGAGAGAGAGAGAGTGGCAGAGCTTGGCACGTGGCACGTTCTTTGGAACGTACAACAAGCTCCCAACAAAAACAACAGGCATGGTTTTCATGATTAGAGTTAGGCCCAGTTGTAGAACGTATTTTATTGTTTGCTTCACTTTGAGTCACCGGTAAAATGTAAAATGTATCCTAAATCTACCCCAGTTTTGGTGAGGCAAAGATTGGCATGCAAGCGGGGCTCCCAAAAACATGGCAAAAGGTGCTTTTCACCTTAAACCTACCCCCCCCACAGCTCAAATGGAGCTCTGCTCCCCCAAAGAACTCGAGATGGCTCCCCCAGCAGAAACCCCCCCCCCACATTTAGACCGGGAGACACCCGATCAAAGTCAACCAGGGGCTATTAATCCGGGGTGCCCATGAAGCAAAAGGGCACGTCATACTGTGGACGGAATCCTGCACCACTTTGAAACCATGATTGAAACCATTGTTTGTTGGCATTTACAGGGGATTCGAATCATTCCAGGGTTTCTTAGGTGGTGCGAAATGGATTTCGTCCACCCACAGTAGCAACACACCGCCGCAGAAAAACAAAAAGAACAAAACAAAAACAAAAAAAACTTGGCTGCGCACTCTCTTCTCCGGCCGGTCCTCACCTCTCGAGAGACGCTGAGGCACTAAGAACTTAGTCACCAAGGCGACAGCGCCAGCTGCTTGTTTGAAGGGGACATGTGATCCAGGGACTCAACACACGCTAGAAATCCAGGGATCCAAGGGATGTGTTGCAACAACGGCGGTAACCCGCTTGAGCTTCGGCAAAACCTGAAAAAAACAAACGCGCGCACACCAGACTTCTGCTGCCACACAAAACAGCCGTGCGACTTCTGCCGCTCATGTCACGCTGGAGGCTCAGGTTCAAGTCTTGAACATCTAAAACACGGCAAACTGATCTGGGCAAGTACTACCCCTACGAACCCGCCATGGAACTCTTGAACTCTTACCCCGCAAGCTGTTTGTTTTGCCACCAATTGGGACACCATTTTCGGGGGGTGGGCCACTCGACCGCCCCCCCTGCGAACTTCATTTTGGAAACAAGGGTTCTCACACCAGTTCTGCCCTGCCCCCTTGGTTGCCCCACGCAAACATCGACATGATACTAAGGGAGATGCAAGAACATACCCAGAAGTCATAGCAAGAGCTCTTCATTCTGCAGGGGGGAGACCTTGGTAAGGGATGGTTAGCTCCACGAGTTTTCCCGCATTCCTTTGCTGGCTTGAATCAAGCAGTCTCACAAACAAACCATTCGCAAAAAAACACGGATTGCAGCTGTGAAGGTGGGTTTGGGGTCTGGTGATTATCACAAGATCAGAAGTCCAGGAATTCAGCAAATGAGTAATGCGTGCGCCTCAATCTCAAGCCTAAAGGATGCTCCGCCAACTCGTCTCTCCCCCGCCTCCATTGGATCTTGGAGGTTCTGGCATCGGATTTTTTCCAAATGCGTCAGATCATGTTTGCTCAAGGATGGCACTCAGGTCTTCTACTGCAGCTTGTGACCAAACCAGCAAAGCAGCAAGGAAAAGAAGTATGCCTCACAGCACCGGAAACAGCAAGCCAATCGCGAATGGCATTGTCACGCAGACTCTCAGGGTTTTCTTGCCATAACTACTGCCATACATTGCCTTGGCCACAAGCTGTGGCCTGTCACAAGCGTGACGTAGGCAGCGACGTCCCCTCAACTTGGTTTGAAGTGAACCCCTGACACGCTTCCGTGGCAAAGCAACGTTTCTTCCAGCTACGTAAGCAAAAAGCTTCATCCGCGCATAGTGCAGTGCATGCACTATCCGTTGTTCAGAAGGTTCCATCCTATGCCAAACAAATACTTAGCAAAAGCACCAGCTGAGCCCGGCAGCAAATCGTGCTCACCGACATCAACATTCCACAGCTGCCAATACATTGACACCTGTGACAACTACATAATACAACGGGGCTCACTGAATTGTAGATCAAGTGCTTCCACTTTGTACTTTGACCTAACCAGTTTCAAAGGCATGCTCGAATCAGTGGTATTGAACGGAACAGACGCACAGCACGCGGCCATGTGTCAAGAAACTGTGAGCGTCTTGCCACTCCGTTCCCCACAGAAGAGCCTCTGCGCTTGATTTCGCGCTCCTCCCGAGATCATGCCCATGTCCAACATGCAAGGATGCAGAATCCACATGTTGGAGTTGGCTGTGGCCTAGTAACAAGGACTTTGCATAGCTTGGGGTCAAGCGGCAGGTTACGTGGCTTCACCCGGACCAATCTGAGTGTTGACGCAGGGTTGCAAATGACTCAGCCATATGTTGCACACAGTTAACAGTGCCTGCACACCACACACCATGGCTGCATTACTTGTTCCGGGCCCAAAGGATGACCATTGCTGACGAAACTTTCAGGGGTTCAATTGACCACGGTTCAACCACTCGATGGCCGCGGTTGGACTAAGGCATCTCGCGAGTTACCGCTCAAAGCGCACAGTTCAAATGGAGTCATCTGAACACGTTGCCGACGCCTACAACCAACAAGCGACCGAACTCTTGTTAGGGTCCATATTGAAATGTTGACATCGTGTCGCCCCATCTTTCCTCAAAAAAGCTGGCAAAAGCGATTAAGAGCAGCCATGCCGCGCCGCAAAACACATCTATCACGCAGTTCACGCAAGGGTCTTGGAGCGACATGCCATGCCGCCATTCCCCACTCAGTTGTTCAGTGACCCTGGAAAAAAAAGGGAACCCTTTTTTGGGCTTGGACCATTTTAGTGGGGCCAGCCACCAAAAAAAAATGGGAAAAAGGTGGCCACTGAACAACTGAGCTCACCCAAATTTTTCGAGATCCCATTGGCTGTGTAGCAACCAGTCGGACTCGATGAAACCTTCAGACCCGTGGGACCTGCAGTACGATCCGGCTGAACCCCGACAAGAATACAGGGTTCCGGATGCATTAGATCCGATTCAATCCAACCACGTGGTGAATTCACCTACCAACCAAAATGGGATCCTTACTCTATACACCTGAACATTGCAACTTGTAGATGGTGGTGTCCAACTTTGTTTTGGTGTTGAAAAAGCAACATGTTTCAACTGGTTGCAAAACGGAGATCTTTTAAGGAGCCCTGGAATAGCAGGTATGGAACCGTCCTTTCCCCACAAGTCTACCGTAAATTGAACGAGGGGGTCCTTTCCAAACCAATTTTGAAGGGAGGCGAACCAGCTTCATGTGAGCATCTCTCGTGGAAAGCTCTAGGTGGACTTGATGCCCCAGGACAAAGATGCTCATGACGTTCCATGCGAATCAGAAGCATGGGATAGTGTGATCTGTACTGAAATGTCGTTGAATTCTGAATAACAATAGGCCAGTTGTTCCCAGTGCCCAGTGCCGACTGAGCGCAGTATGTCAAACACGGGGCTACCCTGTTGACATTTGCCACATGGCAGCGGGTCCCAAAAGCAGACCATCACAATTTGACATCCAAAGGGCCGCCCTTCTTCCATCATTTTGTCCCAGTAGCATAGCTTCAAGAAGAAATGTGCACTCGCCAGATTAAGATGGAACCCCCAAAAATCCTCGTTTAATTTGCAGAACCTTGGACACCCTTTTGAGTTCTTTCGGTTAATTTGCAGAGGGAAAGTCTCAAAAGGCCCATTTGACATCCCGCCACAGCAAATCCCTTTTTTCTCCGCGGAAACTTGCGCTTCCTTCTCGCTGCGGCCTGTCGAGTCGAGGACTGCAGAGAGGATTCCCAAATGGTTTGATGCCCAGCATCTCATCAGAGCTAATCGGCTTCACATCACTCAAACCAAGCGAGTGAGATCACCCACTCATGGAAAAACTGTTCAAGGATCACGCAAGGAATGGCCTTCCCGTGTTGAAACAACTTGACACGCTACTGATGGAATCATGGTTGACATAAGTCAATCAAGCTGAGCTCCCCTGGCCTGGTCGCTGATTAAAAACTATAACCTAGGCTGAAATTAGGACCCCGGCAAAAGTAGATATGTATATTTTGCCTGGTTAGTGGAAAACAAAGGGAACCCCAAAAAAGCAAAAACAAATAAAAAAAAAGAGCTAATTCTGGGGAAGTAACCAGGTGTGGAAACCTTTTTCTTCTTCTTGGCAGTGTTCAAAGGAACCCCAGACACCGGGAAAGCGCTGCACACGACTCTACAATGCGTCGGCTCTTTGATTCACGCCGAGGTTGGTTCCGCAGCAAGGCCCTGCATTAGCAAGCATCCAAGGGATCATAAAGCCCCCCCCCGCCCCCAACGCTCAAGGGGCCAAGACTTGCACCAGTGCGCGCAGCCCAGCCCCAATGTGAAAGGCATGCTACTGGGTACAATCTCACCGACCCGCCGCTGGGTACTTTCACCGACATCTCTAAATTCGAAGAAGTGGCAGGTCGTTGCCATTCCGACAGGAAATCGTTTGCCGGTCTGTACGACTTCAGAATGTCTGCATCGTGGGCACCAAACAAATTATCTGCTAATGGAAATTGAGTTGTACCAGTGGAAGTTGGGTTGTTTTCCAAATAGGGGAACCCGCAAAAGGACGGCCTCCGCTTGGCTTCCCCTGCAAGACATCTAGAAAGAGTAGCCTCCAAAAGACAAAACAATTATGGCGTCACGACTTTACGATCCACAGGAAGACTCAAGCCCAAGAAAACGGAAATTAATCTATGATGCTCAGGCGTGTGGTTCCGATAGTCAACCTGGTTGAATAGATTCAAAAGCTTTGCTTGCTTTCAAAAGCAGACGGCGGGTGTGGCGCACCCCTCATTTAGCCACTCCACAAACGGTTGAACGTCTCCACTAAAACAACACCTCTACAATCCGCTAATCTGGGAAAAAGGAAGAACACAACAGGCCCTATGAGATCCAATAACCACCAACTATAAAATACACGGAGTTCCTTGCTAAGCTCGGGTCTAGTCACAACCAAAACCCGAAGGCAAGGCCAAAACAATGAATCAAAAAGGCCGTATCAATTTTCTGGTTGGTATCCATGAGTGTGTCTTTTTTAAGATGGGACCCCTCCAAAATGCGCTTCGGTTTTACTCTTGGTTTCCCTTCAAACACAAAACAAAAAGGGGTTCCACCTGCAAAAAAAGAAACCACCCATGTCCACGTCTCAAAACACAGGCCATCGAGCGTTCGGTGTCTTTGCTTTGAACCCTATCTGGGCTGTTCAAAATGGAGTGTTGGCCAATCCTAATCCATAATACCTATTCTACAAGAACTGCAAAGAGGACCGTGTGTTTCCCCCCTTTTTTTTCGATAGCCAAGATAAGGGTCCTGCAGATTGCCTTTGAACAGCCTATGGTCATAGGTGTCCTTTTCGGTAAAATAGATGGCCCTAGTTGATTGAACCAGGTAAACCAGGACTCGCCCGATTTTTGTTTCGACCAGATCCACCAAAAATTGGACACCTATGCCTATGGCGGCGCGTAAGGCGCCCATGGCGCCGTACGGCGCCCGCCTGGGTCCTTGAAGGACACCCGCAGGAACTTGGAGCTCACCAACGCGGCGAAGTAGCGGTGGCAGCCGTCACGCCAAAACCACTGCCGCCGCTCCTCACGAGAGTCACAATCAAAACCCGGTACTAAACTGGTCGTAATCCCAGAACCATGCTTCAAGAATTAAGAAGGCGCAACTATTTCTGGCAAGGGGACTGCCCCTTGCTAACCTTCATCTACCCGGGTTTTGAGCACGTGGCTCACGAAGCGTCGGTGGCTTCGTGCCCGCAGCCTGGAGGTGCCATCCGTTACGCCGGAGTAATCGACCCATCCTAGGGCGACATTTGTTCCGCCAAGGGTGAAGCCCTAAAAAAAACCTGATTCATACCCCCTAGGTCCTCCAGTAGTTTGAGGTTAGAATAAGTGTACTGTCTATTTTAGTAGGGGAACCCTCCCAACCAAAAAAGGGCGAGAAAGGGCACTATTGGGGAGCCCCGGATTAATCGAGCCATCCCAGGGCGGCATTTTAGTTTCTCCAACGGTGAAGCCAAATGAAAAAAAACGGATTAAACGGATTCATCCACCAGGGGATTCTTCATCCAGGGGTCCCTTTTCCGAAATGAGTTGGGTTCTTGTAGCTTCATATCAGCTTCCCTATTGGTGCTTCGGAGCCGAATCGGCTTGGCGGTCAGCAGAAGTTCCCATTTACCACAGGGGCTTCGAATAGACCCGTCCTCGCGCTGCCCCACGAACCACCCCCGATTCATCAACCAGGGGATTATTCATCTGGGGGTCCCATTCAATTACCTACAGGGGCTTCGAATCCTTACCACCACTGGTTGCACCCCCAAAGAAAAACCAAAGGTATTCCGCACCCTTTGACAAAAAGGGTCCTTTTGCCAAAAAAATACGTGCTGTGAGGCTCGGGTTAGCCCAAAGCTCAAGTGTTGATACCCCATGGCACTTGGCCTTTGACAGGTGCTGGAGGGAACCTATGGGTGAGGCTTCTGCTCACAAAATGTATGGCGCTTCTGTGTGACTGTCTTCATATGGGCCGAGGAAAAATCGACGCAATGTTTGTTGAGGTCGACATGAAACAAAATGGAGCGATTGCTTTTTCTGGGCTCACTATTCCTCAGTTGTTCAGTGACCCTGGAAAAAAAGGGAACCCTTTTTTGGGAAGACCATTTTAGTGGGGCCACCAAAAAAAAAGGGGAAACATAATTGGGGCCACTGAACAACTGAGATTCAGGAACCCACAGGATTGAGATGCTATCCACGGGTTCACTGATCTGAGCTCCGAATGGCAAAGCTGCCATCTGGCTGGACTTGAGGAAAGCCCGACTTGTTGGATGAATTAAACTGCTTCAGCTTCTGCCCCCCAAAGCGAAAAACAAATGTAAATACATTCGATTCTGGCTGGTTTTGTATGAATCACAAAGTGAAGATAATTTCAAAAAGGCCGGTTGAGTGGATACAAAGCTGAAGCCTTCACAGGGAAGAAATCAAGCCCCTTCACCAAGCTAGCCAAGCACACGCAAAGGGTTTGAATAATTTTCTGGGGCTTGTGTGACTTAGCTTGGAAATACTCCTATTTCAATCAGTTGACAGGTCAAACTGAAGAGCAACCCATAATTTATGGCAGTTGGGCAAGCGCCCCTTTGCGGTGGGTTTGACTTCA